TGATTTAGATTTTTCTTCTATTTGCTCAGTTTGCATTTTGTAAATTGATAAACATAAACAATTACAATATATATTTTTGAAAGCACTCTTTACAGCATTTTTTCACACTTGCCTAAAACTTTTGCACAGTACCGTACAAGCAGTAAACAATACCTTACTCAAGGAACTACGAGAGGGAAAAAAAATAGAACAAAACAAAAACCCCACCCCCACCAACACTGGAAGGGCATGCCAAATATATAAACAGAGAGCAAACCCCATTCCATTCTAGCACTGAAGACGTTACCTAGCCGGGTAATGAAATGTTTGCAAGAAAACAACCAAGCTCAGAGAACCCCAAGGACTCCAGAGCTGGACTTTTAAAAGAAAAACTACTTCATTTAGATGGAATGAAATGCTATAAAAAGAAGTGATAGTGAAAGACTGTTAAAAAAAACTAATGGAATTTTTTGAGAATAATTTAAATAAAGATATGGACTTGAGAATGGTTTGGGATGCAAGTAAGGCTTTCATTATAGGGTATTTCATACAGTATAACATTGAGTGTAAAAAGAGGAGTCAAGAGAAATGCAAGCCATTTTGGAGGAAATAAAGAAAAAAGAGGATGAACTAAAGTTAACATCAGCAAAGTCAAGTATTTTAAAACAAATTAAATTTTTACAACAACTATCCATGTTAACAGTAAGAGAATTGGAAAAAAAGATGAATGTCAAACAAAAGAATTTCAAATCTCCAAATAAGCCAGGCAGATGGTTGGCATATAAATTAAGAAAGGAGAAAGAAAAGAAAGTCATTACAAAATTTCAAGAAGGGGATATGAAAATAATGAATAACGAGACTATGCAAAGAATTTTCCACCAGTATTATTCTGATTTATATAAAAAACAGGACTTCTCTTTGGAAAAATTAGATGATTACTTAAAAAAACAAAACTTGCCAAAACTTTCAGATAGGCAAAGGCAGATTATGAATAGACCTATTACAATAATGGAAGTATCTGAGGCTAATAAAAAGATAGATATAGTTTATTACAGTCTTAGACCAGTACAAGAAGTTTGTTCATGAGTGACCTATGTTCACTT